AAAAGCAAGTGCAATTTTGTTATGCCACGGAAGAAATGATGAAAAGTACCTAGCAAATTTGTGCTGCGAAAAGCGCAGCATCTCGCCTTTCATTTCGTTAATGATGCGCGCTTTATCTTCCGGCTGCCCATGCTCTAGTACATGCTGTACAACATAGTTGCCGTACTGATCGCACACTAAGCTTTTCATGTGCTGATGAAGTTCCTCAAGTATAGGACGCTTTTGCTCATTTGTACAATGTTCTAATATTCGTTGAATAACACGACATCCATAAGGATGAGTGGATAACGTAAATACCTTAAAATAAACGTTAACACACATCGTTTGCAACCGCAAGCGTCAATCAGAAACAAGCTACAGCGATTCGATGTCCGGCGTTCATACATTACCTGCCCAACAAATGCATCAATTACAAACTGCAGATGCTTTGGTTCTACAGTTTCGATAACTTTCTGCACTACGTGATTTCCATTTTGATCTTTAACGCACTTCAACACGTGGCCATCGAGCTCTTTGACGATTTCCGTCTAAATGATTTCACGATGTAATCGAGAAGATTTCGTAAAGTACTGCTGAAAAACTCCAAACAATTTACTTGTTGTTCAACATCAGTTGTTTCCAACGCTTTCTGTATCACCCTACAACCGTACATCTGCAAGGCTAGCGAAAGAACGTGATTCCGTAACTTTCGCGCAAGTTCGCTTTTCTGCTCTGGAGTACCGTATTCGAAAAATTTTTGAATAACGTAATTGCCGAAAACATCTGTCATGAGAGAATTCGGATTGCTCATTATTTCTTGGAACACCATCTGCTTCTCTTGAGGATCAGCTCTTTCTAATTTCTGCTGAATAAACCTAAACAAACGCGAAAGTTGCCGTAACAGTCGTACAAAAACCCAGCACAAAACAGAGATGTTTCAAAATAGCAACCACAGCAGTGAACCACGTGATGCCACTTAGACGCGCTTCGGCGTCGCGACCTCATCTCTCACCTCGAACCGTGCTGGTCTTGTGCGAATTCCACCATGTGGTTGGCCAAATCTCTGAGTTGCAGGTTCGAAAACCGATTAGCACGAAACTCTTCCAACAGCCTGCTGCGGCTGATGGGTTTGTCGATACCTGAACGAAACATTTTGCCCCCTGTGTGGTTCGCTTGAAAAATGTTTGCCGAAGGTGGTCCCATCGGGGGATTGAACATGCCTGAACCAGCAGAATCTTAAATCGAACTTTAACATAGGCATGGGAAGGAAAGCATTTTTATCACTGAATAAATTCGGGTTGCTACCACCCCAGGCGCCAGGTGGTGGCGTCTGACTAAGACTGAACATGTTCATCGTTGCCGCTGCATTATAGTACGAGACGCCGGTAGGGCCTGATGACGACTTCAATCCATATTGCTGCTGCGAAAATGACTCCCGTCGCTGTTGATTACCCATGTGATTTTGTCCCAACGCTGAAAAGGTTACAGTTCAAGATTTCGACTTTCCAACGCCGTCACAACTATGACTTACACAATGAAGCAAGGCCGGAACTCAACGAATTGAGAGCATTGCCGTAGCTGTTCATCGACTGTTGCTGTGGAAACTGAAAGCTGCCAAGCAGAGACGTAGAATACAGAGGATTTTGGCCAGGAGGACTGCTGCTGTACAAGCTTGAAACAGGTGGACTTCCAATTCTGTTTACACTATTGGTGTTACCTAAACAAGGCATACATCACAGAAGCACAAGAGTAAAAAATAATCCCTAAGCTACTGCAAAATAGCAAACACTGCTTAAGAGTACTATGCTAAAGCAGACTTTATACGACCAAAGCAGACAACTGTGACTGACTTTAACCGTGACTCATGATAACCTATGAAGAAAAGAGTACTTATAGTCAAGCCTGTCACTGGTCACTAGTATAAATCAAATTATTGTGCAAATATATGCAAACGGCCACAGTCTCGGGGTTACATACTGGTGACTCCCAGGTCAGGAAAGCAACATCGGTCCTTTCTGGGGTTAGAAAGTAATTTCAATTGGAGTGAATTATAAACACCAAGGACATCTGAGGTAGGCAGTTGACGTGACTAAAACCTTTCTACAAATGCCGTGACATTTAGGGGGTGCTTAAGTATTAAAACAACTGAGAAAAATTTGACTCATGTAACGCCTTAAAGACTATGATTACATCACACCGAAACAGCAGCTACCACCCATATCGGTAAAATAATCACCTGTCTAGCCAAAATTAAAGTATATACTTACCCACCATCTGAAAACAACCGTGTCTGCGCAATCAAATTTGATTACGACTATCACACCTGATTACGTGCAACTGAAAACTATAGAAAATAACTTCTACAAAAGACAAGAGTCAGCTTTAGGCCATAAAAGATACAACAGCAA